TAATTTAATAATCCATTTACTAAAATTATTTAAATATAATTCCTAAATAAGGGGAATCATGTCAAAATTCAACATCAATGGGAATCCGGGAATTGCTTCTTTTCCATGCTCGATTATGGGATTGTGGTAGTGCATATAGTTGGCAATGTGGAAACTGGAAAGGCATAAAAATCTTTTATTTGGTTCAAGGAACTGGCCTAGTTTTGGGTGCTTAATCCTTTGAACCTTCAATTCATGTCTGCCTTAATCATTGACCATAGTTTTTATTGATGAAGTTCAAAGTGTTGAGTGTTACATTTTTTCTTTTATTTATAGTCCTCCACTCAGACTATAATTTTAGAAATACACGCACACACAAGAAATTAAATCCTATCCTGGCCAATAAAAAAGATAATCACTAGATAATATAATCAATTCTAAAGGTTTGGCACATAATCACAGAGGTAAGCTCGTAGGGAAAACAAATCGATCACTAGTATTACTTGATACATACAAACAAATCATTTCCAGCAGGCCCCGAACCAATGAAACTTGCAAATCAGTATTCTGAGTGCTGACACGTAATTATTTGGAACATGGAAGGAGCTTCACAAGACAACATTAATCAAAGAATTCTCTCCAAAGGAAAAATCTGATTAGTTATGAGTGCCTTTGGAGAAAAATATTCAAACAGCAATCTAAAAAGTGAAGTGGAACAAACAAATGGTAAGTACAAAGGCAGCTTTTGTAATAACTAACAGTATTTTAGGATGCAATATAATGGCTACACAAAAAGCATACAGAGTATTGTCTAAACTAAAGTTCCTTGATTTGTAACATGCATGGAAATGACCAGTCGAGAGGAACAAGAAAATTCAGAGATGCACTAACCATTGCAGAAGAGTGCTCAATGAGATGAAGGCAAAGCACGCCAATTATCAGCAAGAGACATGGCACGATCTCGCGAAGTTTGCGAAAGTTGTTGGAGAATTGCGTTCTTGACATGAGCAGCTGCCCTTTCACCAGAACGAGTTGCAAGTTCCAAGTAGACTACAGCTTTCATCATGTCCCTTTCCTGCCCAAATAGCAAGTACTCAATCAGTTCCTGCATCAGTTTCTACATTCCAAGTCTTCTTTCACGTTATTAGGGTGGGCTTGTCAACAATGTAAACAATCTAGATAGTCTCAAATCGTTTTCTTTCTCCTGTTCTCACATACAACTTCTCCGTTCACACTAAAACACCCAAAATATTACTAGAAGTCTCAATTCAAACAATTTGATCAATGACCCATGACATGGTGGAAGTTATCAAGACACCTATACCAAAGCAATAAACATCACCGGGAAAAGAAAGATGATATTGATTTGAAACATACAGAAAAGAGGCGAAGTCCATGCTCAAATTGAGCTTTACTGTGGCCGCGATCAGCTGCCCGCTTCATCCACTTCTTAGCTTGCTGATGGTTGTGTACCATGCCTTCCCCGCAAGAGTAGCACAGAGAAAGGTTGTACATAGCACGCACATATCCACCTTCGGCAGCTTTAAAAAACCACCTAGCCTTTTTCACAAAGGGGAAGAAATAAAAAGAGAGGAAAAAGGACTGAAAAATCCAACTTTCACCGCAATCTGCACTGATGAATGACTAATCCTCATTCAGTAGTTGATTGGCAGGAAAAAGGGGCAAACCGTTATATCATTATTAAATACGCAGAATAATGTAAAGAAAAGGTAATATAAGTGGGCTAATGGGGTAGAGCGGAAGAATACACAGCATTACGGGTTTAATTGAGCATCAAAAGAGGGATAAGAAGGGGATAATAACGGCAGCTGATTGAAACATTAACCCTAAACATAAATCTCCCTCATAAGCAAAATGGATAAGAAGGGGAAAATAACATACAGCTTCCTGTACATTGCGGTCCACCCCATGACCTTGATGTAGACACAGAGCAAGTTGGTATTGAGCACGAATGTTGCCGGCCTTGGACGCTTGCCGCAACCATCTTACAGCTTCGGTCGGATTTGGAGGCTTCGCTGCAGAATTCATTGAAGAAAACAATGGAATGATTGAAAGCAAAGAATTTCATCTACAGTAGCCATTACCCTTCAATCAGTGATCTACTTAAAAGTATTATAGAATCCACAGATTAGGCAGTCGGAGGCCCGCAGCACCCAAAATTAGAAACTGGTGACTAGGGAAAACCTAATGAAAAATATTGGGAAAGGGGAACATTTGTATTTGTTGCTGTCCACTTAAAATACGTGAAAACATGCCAGCAGGACTGGGGGCGAACCCTAATTAACCAATTGTTAGTGTGAATTGTGCAGAAATTAGATTAGATGGGGAATGAAAAGAGGATTAAGATTTGATAAAACCTTGCAAATAGGAGATTCCTAAATTGCACTTGGCAGCAGGATCGCCTAGGTCAGCAGCCTTCTGGTACAAGGCAATAGCTTGGTGCTTGTTGCCCATCTCCCAGTAGAGGAGGCCGGCATCAACCATGGCAAGGGTGGAGCCACGAGCAGCAGCCTTGAGAAAGGAATTAAGAGCCTTGTCAGAATTGGGGCGAACCCCAGCACGACCATGCTTGAAGCGCTTTCCCCACCGCAGAAACAGCATAGCCTCCCTGAGAGGCCTGAGGGCCTCGAACCAAGACTTGCAGACAAAGGAGGCAACCCGGAGATTTGGGAGGTTAAAAGAGGCAGCGATTTTGATGAGAATATCGTAAGGCAAGGCAGAGAAAGAGGGGGAGGATGGAGAGGCGTGGAATCTGTGGGCGTGCTTACTGGACTTGGAATGGGAATGGGAAGGGATAGGAGGAGAGAAATCATGATCCTGGACGGCGGCTTTGCCTCTGATACCCATACTGCACAGAGAAAAGGAAGAGAAAGGAGAGGCATCGGAGCGATCCGGCCAAGTTCTTTGCGTCATGGTTTTGTTTTGATCGGAACAAACCGACAATGATTGCGGTTTGGTGGTGGTTGTGCGGCTGCCTCCGCCCCGCCGGCGCTAATAACTAATATTACTTCTCGCTCGTGTGGCCGACCGTCTTCTTTATTTCATTTCATCGCCCTCTCAATTGTTTCAAAGGAGGTTTGGTCATCCTATGGTACCCCACAACGTTCCTACCAATTTTTCTAAATCTCCCATCACATCTTTTCTTCCTACTTTAAGATTAACTGTTTTGAATATCAAATGAGATTTTTCTTTTTTTAAATTCAAATTAAATGGGATAGTTAATATATAGAAAGGTTACACAATACTAACCACAGAAAAATATTATTTTTTTTTTTTTGTTTGGTATGTGCCCTTCTTTTCGTGCAATTATGATGTGGGTAACTATATTTCTTCAGGCAGCTGAATCAGTAGTGGGGGTCAAAGTCAAACCACAAGCCCAAAAGAAAAGAGATGGGCCTGATATAGATAGGCTGCTAAAAGACAGTATAAACTATGAAGAAAGCCCAACCAATGGCTTCTGGTCTGTAGCTTCCATTTAATTAATTAGTTAATTAAACATATAAACTAATGATAAGGTATAAAAAAAATGAAGAGCGGGTTACGAAAACGCGTGGGTAAAGTGGAAATTAATACATGTAAACAAAATGATCTGTCTCTATGTATAGAAAACATGTACGTAATACAAAGGTAGTGGATGGATGGATGAATCTATTTAGGTCACGGAGCCAAGAGTGGTAGATTTAGAAGGAAGAAAGCAGGTTAATATATAGAAATATAATGCCAACTTAGAAACGATGGCCATGGGAGGAGATTTTGGCTTCCAATTCTGAACTCTTTGCCGCTTGGAGTTCTTGGCTCAATCTCAATCTCCTCTGACGTCAGCCTTATGGGGTTGAAGGTGGAAAATAGAGGGCAAGGAAGGGAAGTTCAATTTTAACTTGAAAAAGATACACAAACCACTCGATGTGACTCGTGAGTTACATAAGCACACCCAAATTTAACACACAGGACTTATAATATTATATTATTATTCACAGTGACAGAGGGTTGCCCCGGGCAGGACACACAAAGATGGGATTCACTCCGACTTTGGCGCCAATGACTCGTGAGTTACATAAGCACACCCAAATTTAACACACAGGACTTATAATATTATATTATTATTCACAGTGACAGAGGGTTGCCCCGGGCAGGACACACAAAGATGGGATTCACTCCGACTTTGGCGCCAATGACTCGTGAGTTACATAAGCACACCCAAATTTAACACACAGGACTTATAATATTATATTATTATTCACAGTGACAGAGGGTTGCCCCGGGCAGGACACACAAAGATGGGATTCACTCCGACTTTGGCGCCAATGACTCGTGAGTTACATAAGCACACCCAAATTTAACACACAGGACTTATAATATTATATTATTATTCACAGTGACAGAGGGTTGCCCCGGGCAGGACACACAAAGATGGGATTCACTCCGACTTTGGCGCCAATGCCAAGGATTATATTAATTCAATTATGAAGGGGAAACAATGCTCTTAATTATCATTCCAAATTAAGATCGATGCATAATTCCAACATTGGATCATAATGATGATGAATGATGAATAGACGAGATGATGGAATATGTTTTAACTTTTAACAACTGTTTCTTCCTCGTAAATTCAAAAGCCGATGGTATGCATATTTGAAGTGGAATAATTGTGGGACAGAAGAGTTGGCTCAGAACTTAAAGCACAACATCGGAAGTATCCGTTACTGGAATAAAACTTGCGCAAAGTTTACAACACATACGTCTTAAATTACAGGGACAAACAAATCTTATTGAAGGGAAACATGCATATGGAGATATCCTCATTGACGGCAGTGGTCAATATTACTCTATGCATATTCTTCCATGAACTCATCATTGAACTTTTTAAAGCTATCCATGATCGCCGGCATCTCCTCCTCTGCCGGCAAGATGGTTGTCCGCAAATGGAAGACCCTGCAAGTGCAACCCAATTAACAGCATTTCTTTCCAAGGAAAATCAGCGATTCATTAGAATATGCCAAAACAAGAGAAGAGGTGAAGAGATTACCCTTCCTTCTGTCCAAATCCTGAGCCGGGGACGGTGGAAATTCCAGTGGCTTCCAAAAGCTTAAGACAGTAGAAAACATCGGCCACTTTTCCTACCCTTTTTGCGGCTTCTATTGCTTTAGGAGGCAGCTGTACTTGAGGGAACGAATACATCGCACCTAAACCCCAATTTTTCTCCGTCATATATCTTAATTACCTCCTAATTACGAAACAACACAATTTTTTTACCTTCCGTGAAGTTGCAGACTACATTTTTGCAGCTGTTAAAACCATCCGTCATTATCCTTGCCCTTCTCCTCAGTGACTCAAGGATCCCTTTGCTGCGTTCACATGGTTCACAATTCATTATTAATTTTCTACTTATAGATCAGTCACCTCTTTTTAAAATTTAAGATATTATCAGAAATACAAATACATAAATGTTCAAAAGCCAGAGTCCCCAGTTTCATACGTATTAGGCTTAAGCATACCTTTCACGAACAAATTGCTCATACGATACATCTCCAGGCTTGGGTGGATTAACCATAAGTCCCATCTACATATATTGTATAAATTAGGAAGTCAGTTTTGATAACAAGATACCCGGAAAGCTATTGTTGACGTTCGAATCCCCGTCTCAAGTATAATGACATGAGAAAAAAGTATAAGGCTCTTACAAAAACTTGTGCAGGAACATTAGGACTGAGGGATATGGATGCAACCTTGTAGATCTCATCAACTGTCTGCAGCATAAAAAGCATTTGTACACAAGAGTTGGAAGACCTACTACCTCATAAATCTAAAAGAAAAGAAGACAGGAGGACTCTAGTGACTGCACGCATGAGTACGAGGGCAGAGCAACAGATTTTCAAAGGGTGTGGCAAAAGCTTACATTGTAGTTTTTTTTATATAATATTTCAATTTTGAAAAATTTTGGGCCATAATAGGGAGGAAACTTTAAAAAATCTTTATTTTTATATGTGATCTTTAAAAAGACCAAGAGGGGGCAATCCCCTCCTTCCTTACTTCTTCGCTCCACCCCTGCATGAGTACATAGGAATTGAAGAACTAAACTACAGGAGCAAACCTGAGGAGGAATATTTGTCATTTCAAAGTATCCGCCACGCTGTCCACACTCGCCCCAATATCCCTTCGACACAGTGTGGAAGGATATGAGCTGAAGCTCCTTGCTGATGGGAGGGCCCATGTCCATTAATACCTTCCAATTTTATAGAAAATGCAACTTATTAATACAAATATAAGTAGAAAGAAACATGTTCACTATGTTCTAATGGCACCTGCCATCAAACCTTTTTAGAACTAATGAAGGGTCGTTCATCCTGATAGATGTTTTGCTGATAAACTTCATCTCCAAGTAGGGCCAAGTTTTCTTGAAAACAGAAGGTCAATATTTCTCTTAAATTTGCTTCACTAAGGCATTGACCAGTTGGATTGCCAGGGTTTATGATTACCATTGCCCTTACCTGATCGTTTGACAGAATATTAGATGGATTATGTCATAAACACAAGCAGCATACATGCTTGAAACTATCTCACAAGAAAAACTACATAATTGGGATAACACTAAAATATATATATATCTGAAGTAATTACATATTTTAGGAGGAAGAACAAACTTAAGGAGCACAAGAGGTATCTTAAAGAAAACCAGATACAAACTAATCACAGTGTGCGTTAAAGTATCACCAGTACTGTCACCATCACCCAACATTAAACACAATTCTCAAATATCAAAAAGCCATTGAAGAGAACTAGCTACTAACTGTGATTCCTTGAGAGTGAGCATGTGCAACTGAATGGCGGAGATCGTTAACATCGAGACCCCAATTTGAGGTCTCATCTAGATAATATGGAACCAAGGAACCACCAAATAGAGCAATAGCTGCTGAGTAAAGTGGATATTGAGGGACTGGAACGAGAATCTGGCAAAACAGAGAAATGTAAGGCAGCATGCCAATAAAACAAAACTAGAAGGATCGAATAAGATATATTACCCCATCACCTTCACCACGGATTATAGTATTCAGTATCTGCATGACACCTTTGCTGGCTCCATCAGTGAGATATATCAGTTCTGGATCACTGTCATTTAAACATGCTGCAGTGAGTGTTTACTTGAGAACAAATGTTGAAATTTTTTGTCTGATCACTATACAGTCAATATTTGTAATAATTCATATGTCTAGTCATTGTTATACCTTGGATAGCCATCACGCCTTTCTATGAACTCTGCCACTTCCTTCCTTACTCCTGGAATTCCTCGGGAGTCACTGTAAGCACCTGAAAAAGTATATCAGAGATGAATTAGTGGCTGGCATGGCATGTCTGAGATCTTCAATTTGATACCTCAATTGAATAACTTCCAAATTCAATGGTATTTTTAGGTGGTGGAGATAAGTAGAATGCAAGCATTCGGTTATCAAAAAACATAGGAGCTTGAAGGAAATATACCAATTTGGTGGCACGGCAAGAACAGAGTAATAAACAACAAATGGTCAAGAAAGCCTGGGGTAGCTATATTTATTGATAAAACTTGGCCATGTTCAAAGAGAATTATCATATCAGCAGAATTATTAAATGAATAAATTGTTTCGTAGAAAAGATCATACCTAAACCACCCCCAATAATTGAAAGATAATGTTTGGCCCTTGCAATTGCATCAGGAGGAAACAGTTGTCCAACATTAGGATCATCTAAAAGAAATGGGGCTTGGCATAGAGCAATTACCTGGGGAACAAGATTATTGTTTTTGATTAAATTATCGAATTAGTAGTATGCAGAAAGGAATGGATATGCAAATGGAGTCATTTAGTGAGAGAAGAGTGAAGAAGGAAGTTGAATGGAACCTGACGAGGAAAGGTCAAAGGCTTCTGGCCAAGGGCGTGAGGGTTCCCAACATTCGTAAAGATGATCTGGAAATTGATAGTCATGAGATGCAGAATAGAGGAAGTTGAAACAAAAATATACCGAAGAGCAACGGATGATTAGCATGCAAACCTTTTTTCCTTCCTTTTGAAGCTCGGAGGCTCGAAGATACAATTCTCCTCTAACGGCATACTGCACCTTCTTCACGTTCTCATTTATAGACTCATGGTCTAATGCTTTCGGGGCCATTTTCAGACTACCTCCGCTGCGAAACCTGGAAAATCAACTCTCAGAACCCGGAGTGGACAAAAAGCTTGCTCTAGAAGAAAGGCGCGCAGAAACGCAGCCACATGCAGGAACTGAGATGGAATGCTAAGTGGCAGGAGCAATGAAACAGCAGCACCACAGCCGCTGAAATGGTTTCAATGGATGGACTATTTAATTCTCGAGAAGATAACGCTTGGTGCAGGAAGTGTGGCCGAGGTTCCACTTCCGGCTGTGAGTTCCTTTTGGCAGATAATGAAAATTTTTGGTCATTCTCCTTCTGCGTTATGGCAAATTTATATTATATTTGTGTTAAATTCTGTCTATATTACTATGTGACCTTGACCAGGATCCTAAACACAGATAAATGTGTCAATTTCAATATCATCTTCGTTCTGGCAGTGGCACGGCAACAGAACAAACAAACGCAAACGCAGCAGCGGAATTGGTGGTTGTCCTTATCGGGTGCCCACGGGAAAACCCTTCGCCATTTCGTTCCATTACACGACAGAACGATAATGTGAAAACAAACAAAGCCCCCTCCAATACGCCCAAAATTTTCCTACACCAATGCGGAAATTTAATATAAACGTTGATTTGTGAATATTTCATTTACGATTCTGCCTTCTTTTCTTTCATTTGAACCATGTAAGTAAGTTAGGGTTAAATAACATTGAAATTTCGGTTACAAATTTTATTCCATAACTATTGAATTAAAAAATGAATGTTGAGGCCAACAGAGCTGAGATCAGTAGTAATATTTTTTAACATTAAACGAAAGATCAAACTGTAGAAAAGGATTAGTTGAAAATAATCTATTTTGAAAATAATCGATTTTGAAAATAATCGATTTATATTATGAAAAACAAATTAATTATTTTATAAAAAAAATTCTAATTAAATACATGATTATAGGATACGTCATCTTTAAAAGCCGGAGGAGAATTATTTGGAGGAGGAATAATGGCGGGATTCCAAGGTGTGGTGCGGAGCGAAGAGGAAGCGGAAATGCCCGCTGCTGCCATTAGAGACCAGTGGGAAGTTCAATTCTCTCGCTTCATTTGCTATCCAAGTAGCGCCGCCACCACCACCAACAACGCCAGCCTCCATCCTCTCTTTCCCCGTCTCCGGAATCGCCCGCCTCGAGGCACATGGATCTCTTCGTCTTCCACTGCTATTCTGCAACTCCTCCACCGTTGCTCCTCCCCTGATTTGATTCTCACCGTGCGTTTTCGAGATAAGATCCTTGTGAGTTCTTGATTTTCCACTCTCTCCAACTTTCTAATCGCATCTGTACGAGTAGACTTGTGAGAGAAGAAATGTTTGGTTACGCTAAATATTATACGTTTGCTTCTTCAGGATCCTTGAACGGTATCGTTCATGCATTTAATATTTTTACTATTTCATTTCTTTKCCATTGGTTTGAATTCATGTAGTTTCCGATCAATGGCCCTGAAATCAATCAGATCATTTGCTAGTCTCCGCCAAAGGAGTCTGTCTCTTGTTTTCCTCGAATTCCCCCATCCCCTCACGGCATGGAGGATTACCTTCTTGGCTTCCTGTTGACCTCATTTTATACGCTTTAAGCGGTAGTTATTTCATTTACTACACCTTAGTGGATCCGGTGGAACGTGGGAAGTTCTACTTTGTAAGATGATTATGTGAAGTGAACCAACCTTCCTCTGGCAATTCAAATGCAGCATCTTATAATGAGTTCAGTGGTTTATTACAATATTATCCTGCCAAAATTCCAATCTAAGACTCGATTTCTATTATTTGGATGTGTTAACCGCAATGGATTAAGCATGTATTACTGGCATACTGATGTAGGAAGAGCACTACCTCTCCAAGCTTCATTTCTCATGGCCTCAGGTGTCCTGTATCTCTGGTTTTCCTGCCAGAGGCACCAGAACTATTTTTGGAAGTTATAGAGATTCAGCTAACGAGGTAAGTCAGTATATATGTTCATGAAGATTTTGTCAATTTCTGTGGTGCTTTGTGATTTCAAAAGTTTTCTGAGGATGAGTTTTGGGTTGTTGAACCTCACAGCACACTCGTTTGTCTTTGCAGATCCAAAAGTTTGCCCTAAGATTTTCAACAGCTTACGAAACTGATTCATTTGTGAACATTCTCAAGGTAATTAATATGAATTTCTTTTATGGTAAGGTTTGATGGAAGATTTTTCGTTCTATAACCTTACTGCTGCTATCTTGTTTCAGGAAATGGCGGAGGATGCAAGAGATATTCAACCAATAAGCAGCGAATTTGGGTCTCGGATTACAACACAATCCGAGTTATTATCTTCAAACAGACCGTCTGATAGGTGAATGAAAATTCTCGTATAATCAATAATCTAATGCATCATTTTCTTTTTGTTGTCACAGCGAGAAGGAGATGTTGATGTATTTTCTGTTTTCAGCCTTTGTGAAGAATTGAGCAATTCTATTGTCCAGCCTTACACTCCTGAAATGCCTTTGAGCTTAAAAGATACTGTAGAGACATACCCATGTTCTCAAGAAAGAGCACATCTTGACCACTTAGAAAGCGTCTTTGCAGCTTTGCCTCCCAGTTTCACGTCTATGCTGTCAAACTGTTCAGATGTCAAACAAGGTCTGATATGACAAATTTAGAATGAAAATTCTTTCAAATTATCGTAGTGACAAATTTCCTTTCTTATAAAGGTAAAACTGCAGCTCAGCCATCTACTACAAAGGATAATGATCTAAAGTCTCAAATCATGGTATGTTCCACTATTACCAAATGTAATTTCGTTTTGTGCTACTCACATCATTGATTTATTTATTAAATGGTTTGATTCATTTTCCAACAGCGTCGTTGAGTTATTAATTTATTGAATTTGTCTTATGACAGAAATGTATGGAAGATTCTTCCTTTCAAGGTACGACTATAGCAACGCTTTATTTATAGTTGCAACTGTTTCCATATATGTCCTGCGTTTTAGAACTGTTCTCGTCAATTCAACGAGATGGAGTCAGAGGGTTCTGGAGGTCTAATTTCAGTTTACCTATTTTATTTTGCTCGATTGTTTTCTTTTTTGGGCTGGGCTTAGTTTTCAATAATACACAACATTTCAATAATCATATTCCATAACAACAGCCAGTAATAAATTTTTTAAGGGTACTGAGGCTAATTCGAGGATAGTTTGGCAGATGAAGCACTTGTTACCATCCTTCAAATCGATGGTTCGATCCCCACCCTACAATTATTGAACTAAAAAAAAATCAATGATTGAGAATTTGTATAGCTTACCAATGAATATCTCTTTATATGTGCCTACTTTTTGTTTAACGAGATGCAATTCCAAATTATACATTTGCAAGCCGACAAGTGAATGATTTATTCGTACATAACCGAGAATATTAGATACTGATATATTGGTTTAAATTCTTGGTGCTTGCCAGATATGTTGAACAGAGTTGAGAAAATTGTCAACGAAATTGGAGGTGATTTGCCGCTGTAATCTCAGGGTAATGTACGTAACATTTGACGCCTTTACATGTCTTTTCATTAGCTCCCAGCCGTGGCCACATTATCTTCGCATACACATCCTAGTTACTACTTAATCGTCATACAATTTGCAGTCCTGTTTTCTCTGAGCTACACAGAATATTTTAGTTAGTTTGAGGGTACATTGGCTTCTTACTTGTGAACTTCTGAATATTAGACCAAATATCTTGTTGATAATTGGGGAAATTAATAGACCGAACAGAATTGTAAATGCTGTGGGTGTAGATTTCATTCGGTTTTAGAAAATTAGGGTTTTTGTAAAATTTTAGAAATGGTATTTTATGATGAAGTGGTCACCTTTCCGCCCATAGTTTGTGTAGTAATGTTTTAGTGAATCTATTCTTAATTTTTTACCATAGCAATTCATTTTAGATTAGGTAAACTTAAACTTGCTTCTTAGTAAAATTTTATGTTTAGTAACAATAAAGATTTGATTAAAATGTCAATGCACAAAAACTAAAAAGATGAAATTGCATAATTGGGGACTGAAAAGGATATGAATGGATTAATTAGGTTTAAGCAGAAGCAATTTTACAGCAGTTTCTAACCAACTAGATTAAGAAATCGTAGAAATAGAAGGGGACCAATTGTCTATTGATATAGATTCCTATGCCAAACAAGACGTTACAAGAAAATGAACTAAACCACCATGGACGATAGAGGGTTTGCCTTCCTCATCATCCTCGGGGTTACAATTACGGCCGAAAGACTTAAAATAAAATTTAAAAAAAGGCCCAAATGAATTTCAGTTGGCATTGTTTAAAATTTTGATGGCGGACAACCTCTCCAAGAACTGCTGAAAGACATCATCGCTACTGAGCATGCTTATTCTTAAATACTTGGCATCAGCTCCAAAACGCCTCCCGCTCCGCCCCTCTATCTTATGCTCTCTAAGAAAGCTCCCACAGTCCTCTATCTCCTCTTTGCACCTCAACCAAGCAAAAGCTGTTAAAAAACATCAAATCTGTTCAATGATTTTATCTTTATGACCAAAGAAAACGAAGAATCAGCTTTTGATCAATTTCTGGCGTACCAGGATATGATTGTGAGAGACGTCCAAAGAAGCAGCAGTACTGCTGCTCGAAGGTGGGGAGACTGAAAACATCACTGCGTCCAATTACATCTCTCAAACTCTTCCATCTTTCGGCCATAAGACTCTTCCCATACTCAAAGAAGTTGTTGGAGAAATTAGACCCAAGCTTTTGGTCGTAGTTGTTGCATAACAGTTCCATTATCTTCGCTGCTCTGAACTGCGAATCTTTTGATACCCCAATTGAGCTGAGATCCATGTATTTGGTCATTTTGATTGCCACTTCTCTGTCCTTAACAAGTGCCCAACTTCAAACACACAAGTAAATGGATAGACATCAGAGGAGACCAAATAATGTTTGGGTAATTTAATTAAGATGGTTTATATAAAATGTCATTTTGATAAGCGTTAGGTTGGATTGAAAGTGGTGGTCGGAACTCACCCAATGCGGGAGCCAGCATGTCCAGTGCATTTGGAGAAGGTGAAATACATAAGGTCATGATCGGCGGGACGAGTGATGGGTGTAAATTGCGGCCAATAATAGGCCAAGTCATGAATGAGCTTGCCTTGGCCATGGGCCTCAACCACCGGTTCCCTCAAACAGCCATCTGGGTTGTTTGGGGAGGTTACCACTTCTATGAATGGTCCACTTTTACTGTCGTATTGGTTGGCATCCCCTGCCCATTTGTAGAGCCTGGAGCACAAGTAGTCTGTTTCATCTGGATAACACTGCAAAACGACATCGCATCATTTCATTGGATTCCCCCAAGAACTTGTAGTGGAAAAATGTTTAGAGAATCCAAAGTTTCCTTATTTTTGGTCAGATCTAATAGTAATAGGCGAATAGGTGAGTAGGGACAGGGAGGGAGGCAGAGAAGCAATTATTTAGACAGTTTAGATAAGTTAAGGGCCTACAAGTACACACGGACACGGGGCGGTTTCTTTTTCTGGTTTCTTCTGATGTGGCTTAGTCTTTTTTATTGCATTTAGAAATCAGAATAGTATTTTATTTTTCATACTTATAGTTATAGTTCATGATCATGAGGTCAGCACGGGAAGAACAGAAAATATGTGATTGGAATTCATTAATGAATGAGCAGAAAATGTGGGTAAGGTAAGGTTCTGACCGAGTAGTAAGGAGCAGCGGAAACGACATTAATGGGCTGAGGGGCAGCGGCAGCGGCAGCGGGGGTAGAAAGAGCATAAAGCGCAGCCTGAAAGAGCTGGGTGGAACCAGTCCCCACAACGACATGTCGTTCATCGACCACCGCGTTGCCCACGACGCGATGTAGTCTCCGGATGGCCTCCTCCAACTCCGGCAGCAAATACCAGCAAAGATTAGTGGTGGTGGCTCTGTAGCTCATGAGATCACACCCTTGGATCACCACCCTACACTTGTCTCCCATCCTCCTCCAATATGGCTCGAACACCGTCGGAATTCCGCTGTCACAATGCACACAACAATTGTAATTATAATTATAGTTATAGAGAGAGTGAGAGAGAGAGAGAGAGATGTGGAAAATGGAAGGATAAGGTGGTTGGTTACGGATCAAGATCGATGAGTGGTAGGTTTGTCCCGGACTGGGTCTGGGTCTGGGTCTGGGTCTGGGAACCATTAGATTCAATGGAATGATGATGGGTGGATGTGGATCTTCCAGTTCCAGTTCTACACATTTTGTCTCTTTCTCTGCTCTCTACACAACAGAAACAAACCCACTCCAAATATAATATTAATGCCTTCGCCTTCGCCTTACTTAACCAATTCAACCGGTTTTTGATGCCTCTGCCTCTTCCTCTGCCTCCTATTTATAGACAAGTTAGAACAGGCCGTTTTTTCCCCGATTCATGCATTCTCCATAATTAGTTTCTTCTTCTTTTTTTTTTTTCAGAGCACGTGATATTTTTCATTTTTTAGATTATAACGGAGATCATGTTTGTTGCAATCTTAAAAGAGATGGAGTCAAAACTCAAAACCAAACATGTAAATATGCGGCCTAATTTTAATGAATACATTTTTCTGACTCAAATAATCATATACCGTTATCTAGTTTAACCACACAACCGAACAATGTGGGATATAGATCCGATCACATGGTGGAATTATTTGTTGGTTGAAGCAAAATGGAAGCGGTTGACTTAATGTTATTGTGTATGTCTTACCTTAATACAAGAATAGATTATGTGTAAGTTTGGATTTGACGGTAGTTATTTGGCAGACATGGTCTCACGAAAATGGACTCTAAATCATATTGAGGAATCAGAAATGAAAATAATATTTGCCCAAAAGACACGGGGCCAATACTAAAGTGTGATGGGTCGGCATTTTGTCGCCCGATTATAACACTAAACAATACAAAACATAATGCAATGTCTCTGATTTAATTGTTTCGTAGCATCCATCGGGTCGGGTGGGTGTTCTCACTTTGACAGTCTCAATTGTTCCACTCCCACAAAATACGCAAATCAAATCACCAACATTTGGTTTTCTCCAGCGATTTTGTAGAATATGTTGTAGAAGTTGAAGTGTGAAAATAATTCAGTTTCAGAATTCTTAAACGAACCCCATATGAATGTTTCTGTAGAAGTAGAGGAGTGGATTGAAGCGATGCAGTGCTGTGGCGGTGGCTGTGGCTGTGGAGTCGAGCAAAATGCGACAAGGACAAGCTCCAAGTGGCGATGCCAATTGCCATGTGCCTCTCCAATCATGAACCACCCAGCCGTTCAACAAAACCATGTGCCTCTCTCCTCTTAAATTCTCTCTCCCTTTCTCTAAACTCCAAACAAAGTTCCTCTAATCTGTCTGCCTAACAGTGAGAAGCTCACCAAGACCCAACAATACCAACTCAACTCTCCTGTTCCTCACATAAGCCCACTACGCCCAATTCAACGGTGCCAGTCGACCCACTTTTCATAAACTATTAGTTTATTTTGTTATGTTTCATAAGTAGTTTATCTGTTCGTTCAATAAAGAAATAGAAATCACTGCATTCCAGTGCTGTGGCGAGGCAAATTTTTGGTCTGAATAATTCAGTTTCTTGAGTGATGAATACCCCGCAGCAGGCTGCTACTACAATTGATGAGGGGGAGGGAAGAAAATGAAAAAGGAAATTTTTATTTACACGAAGGGAGAAAATAATGGGGTGACTAAAATGAAGTATGAGGAAGTAGGGTAATAACAACTTTTGTTTCAATTCCCTAGTTGTAGTGCTATGGTGAGCAACAATAACAGCGCCCGCCGCCTGCCTATGGGTGAGCTTGATTTGGCAACGTTGGGGGATTCTTCCTGAACACATGTTTTCTACAACGTTCAAAAATTCCGTCATATACGAGATCAAATTGAACTCCTGCTCTCTCCCGGTTCACTATGAACATAATGTGATCGCCTTCAATTATCTTGTAGTACCTGCAATTTTAATCTAATCAATCTTCAAGTTTCGATTCCAAAAACCAGACAAAATGGATCCAATAAAAAGTGGAGATAGATGGCAGCATGATGATATGCTTCTAAATTCGAATTGAACATGCTTGTACTAACCAGATGCCAGGTTCGAGGGGTTTACACTCCGAATCATTTACGACATGACGACTTGGATGCTCAACGGGAAAACGAGGGTGAGTCATGGATATGGTGTTGAGTGCACCATCATTGTCCTCCCAATCTTCATCCTTGTAGCCTTTGTAAGGTGGAGGCACATCTGAAGGATGGCGCCATTGACTCATCTGCAGAACTCTAATGAAAAACAAGGGATGGATTCTGAATATGCTTGATGGAACTGTGACACCCAAAATCTTCCTAGTACACTTGGTTACATAGTTAAAATAGTATGTATTGGGAAAGGTCTGCAAATGGGTGTTGAGACGGATGGATCCCTGTATTGTAAGATCAGGGAGGATCCAGTCTCCAGAGGCGAACGGACCCGCATTTCCTATGAGGCAATCATAAAGACCCCAAATACCCATTTTCTTCCACGACATGTTGAAGTGATCAAACCCAAAGTTATAGTACTCTCTCAACCACGGAATGTCCATCCACTCATATAGTATTACACCCAAGCGGCACAGCTGCAGCAGGGATATAGGCTTCATTGATCTTCCATCTTCTGGCCTGGAACAAGTTGTGATGAAATCCAAAATCAGCTGCTTTGTTTGGCACAACATGAACAACTACTCCAATTTGATCGTATTAGGTCAAAATTCACAAATGTGTGACCTTGAAGCATGTAATTGGTTGGAGACAACTACAAGCATGTTGCAAGATTTGGTTCACAGGCTTCTAAAAGGATTATATGAAACAAAATCAACTAGAAGAGCAATCAATTAAAGATCAATAAGGAGCTTACTGCATCCCATCCAAGTAGGTCCTGGTTGTCCCATTGAATACTCCTGATAAGGATGCGATGCTTATTACCCAATTTTCATTGGTATTCTCATATCCCTCGAATGCCTGAACCATTAAGAATACCTCTCTCAGCATCTCAACTTTTCAGATATGTCTCATCGATCTAAAACGATTACAGTCTATATTTCCCTAACCTTATCGGCGAGCATTTGCTGGAGTACTCGAACGACCTGAGCTCCGGCGGAATGCCCGACAAAATGAATAGGATGGTCCTCATCCCATTCGGGATAGTGCCCTGCAAATACCAATTCCAATGACAAATGAAGGCAGGTTGTTATAGGAGCAGTAGTTTGCAATTTGGGCATTAAACTATTTACGTTGATGAAGGGAGCATATGATATAGAAAAGAATAAGATGGCGAACCTCGTTCATAAACTCGGCCAAATCGCGAGTGGCCATAGGTCTTGCTGTGTTCTTCACCATAATCGACTCGTCCACCTTTCAAATAATAGAACAATTCCCGAGCCCTGAGAAGCGAAAACCAAAGGCCTTTAGAAATTAGAATGAGAACCCAAAAAAGATTGAATTGGTGTAGCATTAACCTGTCATAGATGCTGGTTAGGGAGCCCAGATCAGGCACAAGCACCCTATCGTCTTTCTTCTCTGCCCCCGCAAAGTACGATAAACCTCCCAATCTCTGTGGAAACGGAAAAGAATACCCAGGGCCACAACACAATCAACTTCGACACACAGGAAAAAGAAGGGGAAAAAAAAAGGTGGGGGGAAGTTGCAGAAATTAGAGGAAGGATGACTTACTCCTTGGCCAAAACCAAAAATTCCATGGACCAAAACAATGGGAGGGAGATTGTGCGCAGGGGGGAGGGGAGAATTGGATTTGAGGTCAACTTTGGGAGAAGGGGAGAATAACCATCCGTTGAGAGCTTGAGAGAGATCTGCCGCGACGGCTGTGGTGAATATGTAAAAGGCGTACACCAGATGAACGAAAGAGCTCAAAAATAGTTCGGTTAATTGCAAGGCATCTATCCAGAGGCGTATCATGTTGGGGGAGAAGCCGAGTTGTGATGGAAAACAACAGGAGAGCCTTCTTGAACCCAACAAACAAACAAAGAAGGCTCTTCTGCGAACGCAACGGAACAGGAACAGGAACAGGAACGGGGGTTCCTCTTCTCTTCTCTTCTCTTCTCTTCTTATGTACAAAAGGCAGAATCTTTATTTTTATTTTATGTAAAATGAAGAAAAACGGTTGAATAAGTCTGAAGAGAAGAAGACGGAGTTTTGAAAGCTTTGAAAATGGCTCTTTGGTTCGTTTTCAACGCAATGTTTGATCCCTCCCTCGCGTCTCGTACCTACCAATACCATTACCAAAAAATCAGCGGTCTTTTCTTTTCCGTCCAAAGAAAAAGAAAAAGGGATGGTTGATAATTCATACTTGGGAAGGTTACAGTTACAGATGAAATAAATAGGCATTAGGCTTATGTGGGGCTAAAAAGGTAAAAGGAACCATCCAATTCCAATTTCCAATACTACACTTACTTAGCCATCGCCGCGCAGCGCTGGATCGTAGCTGGAATGTTTCTACCAACCCTACTTCTCCCTTTTCCTCTTTCCTTTTTTCTCTCTTTCATTTCTCTTTATTTCAAATTTCCTTCTCTAATTATCCATTATTTCTTTATCCTCTCCCAGAAACTAACACACTTCACTAATCATAACCTAACTAACTCATAACATAACAACTCCCCCCCCCCCTCCTTAAATTTATTACTCTATATTTAATTGAACTGATTAAGTGCTAATAATTGTGGTAAAAAAAAATGAGCCATGCAATTGAAAACTTACTAGTAAAGTGGCCAAAAGTGTCTAAGACCTATCAAATGCATGCTTAATTTGCTTGAATCTTAGATTTGATTAAATTGTGATATATCCTTATTGAGATATAATTAAATTCATCCAAGCTAGAGTAGTAGTTTATTCATCCCTAACAATCATCTTCTCATCCTTTATAGAATTAGTGTATTAGCCTACCTTGTTATGATATTTCAAAAGTAGCTTAGTGAGGCTATTGAAAAGAATAATTCTCCCTTGTTGAATTAATCTTCTGTATAATAGTAGTTACACGATGGTAGTGAGGCAACTAATAACGTTTTCGTTTTTTATTTGTTCCTCCTATCTTTTATTTCAAGTTTTTTTAAAACTAAAAACTGGAAAACATTGGATAACCATTTATGTTTGCTTAAAAAAATTATATAAACAAACCATTTTATTGGAGGATTCGAAGTCATAACTTATTAATTTATTAATTACTATTGAGTTAATTAAAAATAATGCCATTGCGAGTTTGGGGATATTATTATTGATAATGTAAATAGATTGATATTGTGAATTTGTAATGGGATTGGGAAGTGTAGGGTTCAGATAAGCCACGTGGGGAATGGGCATTGGGATTGGGTGGCCAGAAAATAAGACGTTGCCCCACCACACATGATTCATGAAACTTCTGGAATTCTTAACCACATTAAATTTAATTGAATTATAATTTATAATACGTTTAAATCGTTGCCCTGCCTATATTATTTTAATAAATAATGCAATCACAAAAGTTGACGTGTAAAACGCAAGCCTGGCCCCACCCAATTCGATTCTAGATTACGATGATACCCCTCAAATATGTCTGTTCCCTACCGAAACTACCACATCCAAATTTATGAGAGACATCTTCGCCGTTGGACTATGTTAGCATATGAATTGAAATAATAGCTACATTTAGATTTTGTTTATTTATTTCAATCTAAAGGCTAAGAAATCAGAGTAAAAACCATCCAAAAAATATATATTCTTTTGGCGTTGTTTAAAATTTTTGAATCGAAATTACAAACTTATCAACATTATTTACTAAGAAAAAAAATCATTACTACAATATTTTCTTCATATTTTTAGTTCATTATACATACATTAACTAAATATTGTGTGAAGTTATTTGAATCAATATAATAATAGGTTATAGTTTATTTTTTCCTTCTTTGCGATACTATTGATATAAAGACTGATATCTTCTTCAATTCTTTTTTCTTTTTTGGCAAAGAAAAACAATTTTGTAAAAGGAAGGGTATTTGCGGAAGAAAATATCATGAGCGGGGCGTTGTTGGTAAACTTGTAGTCTAAAAGGCCCAGTCGTGAATATTGCTGTAGTTCGGCCCATATGAATCGCTCTGTCCAAATGCTTGGCCAGGATTCTTGGGCCCATGATAATTAAGCTTACCAAGCTTAAAGGTTTGGCGATTAATGTTGTGTCCCAAAATCTGACCATAAATTTTTAGTAAACTAAGTTAATACAACACGTCAAAGTAAGTTTAACAACTTACGAATTTAAATCGGTTAAGGTATTTGTCACCCGAATGAATTCGACTCATCAGCACATCACTTATATCTTTAAAATCGAACTTAAAAAGGATCAAATTTCCCTCGAATCCAATTTTTATCTGATTAAAATTAATTTATTTTCATGTATCTAATCAAACATAAAAATGAGAAACCGAAACTTCTAATTATAGCCACTATTGCTGCAATTATCACTAATTGAATTCAAATGCAATCGATGCCTTTAAAACTTCAATAGTTCAATTTGCCAGCAATCTCCTACTGTCCAAGTCCAAGTTCAAATATACTTTTTGTATTTTTTCGAAAAATAAAAACCCTAAAAAACTATATGATGATTGAATGAAAACCTTATAAAGTTCATTTGACACTGACAAGAAAAGAAAAATAGTATAATAGCCAACCAATTATTATTAGCTAGGTGCACCCACCTGCAAACAAAGTAATCTTTCTGTTCAAGCATTAATATGTATGCATGCATTTAAGACCATTGATTATATGATGTAATTAAGGTTAATCGATTATCCTAAAAAAATTAATTTAAGGTTAATTGATTAATTTGCCTAACCTATTCCCTACGACCATACATTCAATGACTATATCATTATTGTATTAATTCATTTTCATTTAATTAAGCCTCCCCACACCCTCTTTTTGTACAATAACCTATTTATTAAAAAAAATAAAGAAAAATAATATCTAGAGATGGAAAGATTGAAGTAGAATGAGTAGTTGAAATTTAATTATGATATGTGCTTTGATATCTTCCTATTGAATATTACATGGCATGCATTTCTCTCTATAATGTTAACTTTAGGATCAAGATAGATGGCAAATTGAGTCTGCACCAAGCATTCTATTCATCATTTGCAACTTCAATATAATATTAATATTAATTATTTAAGGACAAAAATTAATTTTTGTGCCAAGGCCATTTATTTTCTTCTTACCACATTTCATATATCTAACGTACTGTTTTTACATTTTAAGACTTTTATGTAATATCGATTATATATTTATTTTAGAAGTTCTTTTGTTAAAAAAATTTAGCCCATTTTAAAAACAAAACATAGGTTTTTAAAACTTTTTTCATCTTGAACATTATTTATTTAACCTGATTCTTTTAATTCTGTAACATATATATTATTTTTATTTTAAGAAAATAAATAAAACATAAATTATCATTATGGATATGTTTGAAATTTCAAAATTATATAAAAAGGTAAACAATAGTTTATAGCTCAACGATAATTGTTGGTTGTAAGTTCAATTCCCCGTCCATAATGATAATTTATAATAATAATCGTTTATTTTTTGTTATGATAAACAATTAGCTATCTTAAAATATTACTGCATTTTTTAGTTGCAGTAAGGCAAGGGAGGCTAATTTGGCTTATATGCATAACTAAAAAGAAGTTAGTTTGTATTTGAATATTTAGAAAAGTAGCTCAGAGAATTGAGAATTATAATTATAACGCACTAATATCGCTATTTCTTTGCTCAGAATTTACAAATATAGTCCTACTGAGGTGATATAATATTGATATATCACCGGTTACAGAATTTTGTCTTAAGAAGACCAAAAAAAAAAGAAACAAAAATACAAGAATGGCGCCAAACACCCCTTTATCAGCTATTGACCCAGAAATTAAAAAATAATAATAATAAAATTGAATAATAATTTAGAGAAAGAGTGTATTTACCGGGGCGGTTGATTGAGTTTGAGCCTGAGGGTTCACTTCAGGGACACCTGTCGTTTCGACCAGGTCCGCCGTAGTAGAAGTAGTTACCCCAAATGGTGTTGACCCCGCCTTGAATGTCGTAGCAGTTTGGATGATCCGCCAGTACCACCAGGTTTGACAACGGAACCAAGCTGTTGTCCCAATCCACCACTTCCAGATTCCGGAAATACGAAGCCTTTCTGAATCCCTCGCCGGCGAAATGCCCGCTCCCCATCTCCGTCCTCGTGTGGAACCCCGACGGGCTCGAATTCACCACCTCTCCCCCGAACTGCACCATCGTCGCGTGGTCCTGTAGGTGGGTGAACAAGAACGACGGCCAGTACCCCACCAGAACTCCCCCTCCGAATTCCAGCCACCAATTTCCATGCTTCGGGTCCTTCCACACCAACAGGCTGATGTCAAATTGCCCGCCGTCCAACGATGAGGTTGGAGAAATCGCAGCCCCAATTGCAATTTTGTTATTTGTCTGAACAAACCCCGAGCACAGCAAATTGTAGCATCCGGTTGCTTGGTATGCATCCGACTGTCATCATAATTTTGATTTTAGAATATAAGAAAATTATGAAGAAAGAAAGGTTTTTGATGGGTCACTTTACTTACAGTCCAGTAAGTGAAGAATCTTGGGTAATTGTCTCCGTACAGCTCTGGGCTAACCTACAGATTGGAAATATTAAAAAAAAAAAAAAAGCATTCGCATCAATTCTTTACATGGAAAAGCATAATGTGGCCTCTGTTGAAATTCACTTTAGTCAAGTGCTCTGTCGGGCTTAATCTTTAGCGCATTTTTCCTTTTAATCTTATGGACAACAAAAAAAAAGAAAAGAGTTGAGACAGAGACATGCCTGCCAACCAGCTTCAATGGTGTTGAGATCGTCGCCGAAAGAGCCGGAGATGACCCACATTTGCGACAAACTGAATTCATACTGATCGGCGACGCGAGGTGCCCACACGTTAATACTTGCCTTTGCTCCGAAGTAGTGATCGCCGGTCACATACCCCACTGCGTGCTGGAAAACAACCCAAAAGTTTCAAAAAGGAAAAACACATCAGAGAGAGAGAGGAAGAATGAATGAATTCCATCTTCAAGCTGAAGCAATTGACAGGGGTCGATTCTCTTTGCCTGGGAATCGTACCTCATGCCCGTCGCTCGTTGTTTCTCTCCTAACCCATCTTCTTACTTTCCTTCCAAACATCTGAAAAGAGGTAGCTCTTAGCATTTCTTCTTCGGTTGTTCTTCTTATGGGGACTGTTCCTTCTGGACAAGTTTCCCCATCCATGCTCCATAATTGGAAGCTTTCTGTCACCGTCCTAGGCTGCTTATGTCCTCGAGGTCTCTCCGGCGGATCCTGCAAAATCACGATGGAACTCGGATTCAAAATTCTAGCTTCAATTTGGCTCCAACGGAAGTAAATTTTGCGAATGAGATTTGGTTACCAACGGTTTTTGTCCTTTCAAATTAGGATGGTCAAATGCTGGTTGCTGATGAGATAAAACACAATCTATGAGGTCCCCGTCAGCACTCTGCATTCACATAAATAAAAATCCGTCCTATTTGTTAATGTTGAAAACAGAAACAGAGTATATACCTGCTGCAAGTTTTAAAGTGGAAGTGATTAGTACCTGAATTGTGCGGACAGCAGGCTTGTTGATCTCCTCCAAGCGAGCTCTTATCATCTTCAACTTGTTTAATTCCTCTTCGGGATGGAAGGTTTGGTTAGTGGCAGACGAGTGCACCGGGCTAATTGTGGAGCCTGCAAGAAGAAAGAGAATGGCAATGGTTCGGGAGATGTCCAACACGCCGGAGGCCATGCTTAGGCGCTGTCCGAGTCTTGTTTGATCAAAGAAATGCAGCGCCCAGCCCAGCATGTGAATTGTGAATTGTGAACTGTCAAGGCAACGAAATTTGGAGCATTGTTGTGAGAAAGCAAAAGGATAATCCTTTTAGCATATTGGGAGATGGAAGTGAAATCGGAATTTAAGAAAAAAGTAATCCTTTGTGTTGTTGTGATGGGTTGAGGAGCTTCAAAGTGGTTGATCCTGTGATCTGACAAGTGGAGGCGTGAGGGTGATTAGAAAAAAGGGTACAAATTTCTTATAGGTGTTGTGTATGTGTGGGGTTGGAGTTATAAGTAGTTGGGTAGTGATGGAAATCATGCTGGATTCTCCTTTTTCTCTTTAAAGAGAGAGAGAGAGAGAGAGGGGGGAGTGTTCCCAGTCTCCAATACAAGGACTGCAACTTTAGCTTTTGTGTTTGTAAGATTAAAGGGTGGGGGGGAATATGGGAGTGATATGCTTTACTTTGGGGACTCAGGACAGAAGGGAAGGGAAGGGAAGGGAAGGGAAGGGAATTTCCACTGGATTCGATTCCATTGCGGGGGTTTCCAAAGTTGTTTGCTTTTAATGGCCTCTCTTTCACACTTTCCTAGATGTTCTTTCTGTCACCTCCTCCCGTTCCCTCCTTACCTTTTTATTACATTTACAACCCTTCCTTAAACCCCTCTAAAACACTCCTCCCAATTCCCATCTTTTTTCTTTTTTCTTTTTTCTTTAAATACTACTCAACTCATCCATTTCATTTCTTGTGCTCCACTTGAGGAATTTAACTACACTGTCAACTTTTGTTCACAAACTTCTTACTTCAAATAACTAATCAAGAGTTTACTGTGCAGTATAAGCCCAACTTAATTCGTAATTAGTAGCAGAAGATATTACTTACGACACAACTCTTCTACTCTTTATGCTTAATATTTGCTCTTCAAACTTGTTGATTTAAATAAATACTTGGAGGGCGTTGCGTATATACATTTCCTTATTTAGCTATATATTAACTAAAACAAGTTTTTTAAAAAATAAAACTTCAATTTCTGGTTTCTTGGAAAGTACATTTAACACAATATTGTGCCTGTGTCTCGTAAAAGCTAAGGGAGTGATGGCGAATGGAATTAATTAATAATTCAGCATTGTAAAACGAGCATAACTATCTTTAATTTGTGTAGAATTTTTAGATGTCGCAATAATTAGCGTTGAAATGGTATACAGGTTTGTTGTGTTATGTGAATAAGCGCCGCGCACGCAAGCTGGGAAGTGGGAAGTGGGAAGTGGGAAGAAGCTTTCAAAGTTGTGAACAACGCCATCGTTTTCTTTTGACTGCGTATATTCATACGAGTGTAGAGAGTAGGAACTTCAAACTGTGGATGTGTTTCCTAATTGCTGGCATTATTTGGAAGCAACAAAAACGACAGTGTTCGAGCTACAACTTTTTGTCAGATTTGTCCCCGGCCGATGTTTTAGTTTCACCTTTTCCCCTCCCTTCTTTGATCTGATAAATTAAGAAAACACGACCAGGACTGAGACTGGAGGTTTTCTTTTAGCCATTCAAAACCATTGTACATGACCCCAAACTAACACACCCAAAGCTGAACAGACCAACATTGTTCCAACTTGCTTCTCATATTTTGAATTCATTAATCTTTATATTGATTAAGTTAAGTAGTTTTCAATCACTATTTATTCATAATCGAGTAAATAAAAAAGTGTGAAAATGTGGGGATCGGAAGTGCATTGAAAGGAAGGATAGGAAAACTGAAAAGAATGGTAGGCGTGGAAGAGGAACAAGACAATAGACAAGGATGTTGAACAATGATTTTGTCTAAAAGAGGGCGTGGTGCCTTTGTATTTACTATTTGTGTAATTGTAATTGTAATTGTAATTGGCGGACCTCTTCCGGCTTTTGGACTAAACCCAGGGCCAACGTCAAACCACCAAATACTTTCACACAAAAAAAATACCAAAACACACATAAACTTCTTTTACATCTATTTACTTTCTGTTTATTTTACATTCAAACAAGGTAAGGTATGACTTAGCATTATTAAAGATGTAATTCTAAAAAGAATAGATGTTGAAATTAGATATTATATTAGTAATTTTTTTTTTTTTTTTAGAAAGAGAGAGGGGAAAAAGGAAAGTGGAATATATAGGAGTTGAATATTGTGCAGGGTCAGGGAGGGTAGTGGGCATGGCATGGGGGTTGATGAATGATGATGATGTAGGGTGAAATAGAATAACACATAATGTGAATGTGAATGGAATAATGTGGAGAGGGAAGGTATAATTAAAATATATGTAGCCTTACCCAACACATTATCATTATTAATCATATGCTTCATTGCATCTTCACATGTATTTCCATCATATATTCTAACAAACAAAATAATACAAGTGATGAATTAGTTTGCTTTGCATGTATAATTGATAAAAGGAAAGTGTGTGTCTGTGAACACAAAAATGACTGCTCCTCTCCAAAAGCCAATGGGCCAAAATTGCTTACGGTGTAAGTCGGGGGGAGGCCCATGCTACGTGCGACACGTCGTTCTGCTCTCCTACTCCCTACTTCAGTATTTTACCATAGCATAAAAAACCATGATGGGGCCGCCCAAACCACCCGTATTTCATCCTTTCACTTTCATATTTCCAACAACACTCTTATGTATTGCTACGAAATCCACTACTTAATTCCATATTATACCAACTACACACCATTTAATTACCATGATTAACACAATTAACCAGTTCAAACATATCATTTAATGTTGATATGATGTCATAGTTGCTCAAATGAGCATTTGATTTTAGAAAAAATGAGATTAGTACGTCCAAAAAGATATCATCTTGTTGGGAGCATGTTAAGAAATGGCATATGTGCAAGATCATTATAGCTAGTTTCTATATTTGCATACACATGAAGATCGAGAGAGAGGAAAGAAATAGGAAATTTAAAGAGAGGCAGAAGTATATAAAGTAGGCAGCGAGAGGCAGTTTTGTTTGGATGTGCTCTTCCCATCTTCTCTATTGATCATATGAACAAGAACAAAGAGTGAAACATTTGTTGAGAGAAAAGAAAAAGGGTGTAGGCGCAGAAGAAACTAAGGGCCAACCACCCAGACCCACCTATGACCCATGACCCGGTTACCAAGTTGAAAGTTAGCAGCACTAGAGACCAGACAACGACATGTAGGAATTGCAAAATTAGGGAGTGGAGTAGGGTGGGCGAAGAATTTAGCGTAAGTGAATCAAACTGGAGAAATAGAGACAATTGGAGGCCATTTGGCTGAGTATAGCGTTGGTGCGGGTAACGGGAGAAGTAATGCCTTCTTCGTTGATGGCATCGTCGCAGGTGACATAATCGGTGAGAACGGCAGAGAGGTCAACGTTGAGGCTAGACTTGTCGTGGCTCTTGAGGTTTGAAAGGCC